TTTTTTACTAAATAAGAGAAAGAGCGAGAGAGATTAAATAGAAAGAGCAAGAGAGACAGAGAGAGGCAGAGAGAACGAGCGCAGCCAGTGATTGCGTGCGGTAATGGAACAGAGATGTAAATCCCCCGGACAGCGCGGGGCTGTTGAACATGTATCCAAACATTTTTTTTAATCAATTTCTTTTTTCTTTTTTTTTTTAGCAGACGGGTTTGTACGGTCGCGTAAGGGTACGGCAAACACGCGCGGCTGACGGGGCTGGTTTCGGGTTTAGCTGGGCGGCGGGGGCGCGGCGGGGGTCGTAGTGCGGAGTGCTCGAGTTGTGTTTGACTTGGAAGCCTCGCGGTGGCACCTCCCCAACCACCACCACCCCGCTCTCCCGCCGTCCCTTTCACCGATACACACTGGGCCTCTTGCCGATAGACGACGAGCAGGAAAGGCAGCCGGTAGGCAGGAGGGGGAGGGAGGGGGTAAAGGGCAGGGGGGGGCGCGGGGGCAAAGGTCAAGCCACGCGCGCGTCATCGGAAACCGCCCCTGGACCCGAAATAAATGCCCCCCCCCGCACGAATGCAATAAGTCACTCTCCGGACGTCAACTAAACAGGTGTTGGTATACCTCTCAATTTTAAGAGGATATAATTTACCAGCCCAGAGCTAATAACTGTCATGTAATGCTCATGCCGTGATGGCTGCCCTGTAAAGCTGTAATCTGTTGCCTATATATACCTCTGCCTATCGTGCCAATAAACCAGTAGAAGCTAGACCTACAACCACTTGTCATCAGCATTCCCGAACTGTCGGAACACGGGTAAGTAAAACTCACTCTTCTTTCCAGTGATTGAGAAAAACGTCGCTTTTACTTTGGCATATATTCTTTTGGTCGTACACATTCCCTTGAGCTGTTCCGCGGGCTAGCCAGCCTACTGTCCCTGGGCTGTGCGCTGGCTCGCCCTTTGCTCTATTCAGCCCTTCCTACCCCTACCCCGCCCCCCGCCCCACCACTGCGCGCCACGGGTGTAAACTACAGCCGCACTGGGGCTTTACTGGTCACGTGGATGCGCGTGGGCCGGGTCGGGAACCGAGAGTCCCCAAGGAGCGGGATTTCGCTCTCACAAAAATCTGCTACTTTTCTTTTATGAAATTTTGATGAACAAAAATACAATCAGTCTTGTACAATGAAAAGCTTTAAAAAAGGCGCCTCTTGTTTTTGTATATTTTTTGCCAGAGAATACTTTTCATCGTGGCCAACGCCCCCAAAAAACGAACGAGAGATTCGAGGATTCGGCATTACGACTCCACGACTCCATGGAACAGATGCATCATTGCTTTCAAACAAAAATAATTTCATCGTTGAAAGGCGGCGGAATCACGCCACCACCGTCTGACCCAAAGTTGATCCCGGGCCCGCGTCGCGCACTCCTTCAAAGGATTTTTTTTTTCTTTCTCCTTCTCTACTCCTTCCGTCCTCCTTCCCCTTTCCGGGGGCGACGATGCGCCCTTTTGTGTTGACGGTTGAGGAGAAAGGACTGTTCAGAGGACTGTTTTTTAATCTTTCTTTCAAGAGCCGCTGGGTGTGTCCTGTTGAGGAGGCCAAGTTAGCTGTTTGGCGGGGAGCAAAAGGCCGCTTTTCCGCGTATTATTATCGAAAGACGAAACTTGTAACAATAGACCAATAAAAGGACAGTTATGATGCACAAGTCGCCGTCGTCTGCTGCTGCCCTATTTTTGGCGGGTCGATAACGTCTGCAGGACGTCGCGTATCTGGAAATGAACGATTCCGCCGTTTCCTTGAACCGGGCAATAAATTTGGATTGAGAAATGAGGCCAGGCGCGAGTCTGGCGGGCACTGCAGTGCGCTCGGGTGCACGTGCCACAGGGCTGGAGGGACAAGGAGAGTAGGAGGAGAGGGGCCACGAAATGGAAGTTCAAGGGGTCTTTCAGTTCACCTTCACTGTGAGAAAAACAACGGAAAATCAACGGACAACAGTGGCAATTATTTTCTGGACACGTCACCTACATTTTTTTACATGGTAACTCAAACGGTTCTTCCGTACCTCTTTACTGAAGTATGCTATAACGGAATGTCCGTTGGAAGTCCCGTAGTATCAGATGATTTTTTTACAGTGTTATTGACCCTCTATCAGGAAACCCACACAGAGTTTTATCATTCTGCTTTGTACAACTAAATGCTTGTTATGTTAACAAAAATAACATGCATGCTCGTTTTAAAAAAATGATAAAATTATTGACTTGCACGGCTTTGCACGGCTTTAAGAGTATTGAAGCCATTCTGTTTGCTACGGCCATGCGCCACCATGCGCGGGGGTTGCGCGTAGAATGACTCACTTCACTGGGTTCACGAAGCGGCCCAGGTCGTTGTCCGAGTAGTCATCCAGGGCCGAGGAGGCCGCGGCGGGTTCGTCTGCAAAATACATTAACTGCATTAATTCGAGGTTTTCAAAGTGCACTCTCATCGTCTAGGCGGCTGGGTTTAGGACCAGGTACAGCGGTCCGTCCAGCTGCCACCGCTGCAGGTTTTCATGTGATAATTTTCCACCTTAAATGACCAAACTTTTGACCAACGCATAGGCGAATAATGACTTTTGCGTGTCGCGTGCTAGCGTCATAGTAACAACACAAACAGGCGTCAAAACAGATTAGGAAACTAGCAGGATTCAATTAGGATAAGGTGGGGGTAGGGTGATGAAGGGTGGCATGGTGTTTTTGTTTGTGTTGGCTCCGAATGCGTTCTGCGACCTCCGGCCGGGTTGGCAGTGGCACGCGTTTCGCACATGTGCCTCTCATTGGTAAACATACCCGCGAAGCGAGAATCATTTCGAAGCGTAATGTGTAATGTGTGCGCATGTGTGAGGGTGTGAAGGAGCCAGTGAATGTGTGTTTGTGTGAGCGAGAGAGTTTTGATGCGAGATAGAATTACCTGTTAAATGTCCAAATTATTCATCGTTATCTAGATTTTAAATCAGACGCCCATTGGAGCAAAAGCTTCTTCGAAACTGGGGTGTGGTGCGAATTTGAGGGACCGCTGGGAAATAGAGTTGAGAAGCAAAGAGAGAGGCACCGATTAGATGGGCATACAGGCGACACGACGTGGACATGGCTCAGAGGGCTGGCGGCACACACCCCTCGCCCCTCTCTCTCTCTCTCTCTCTCTCTCTCTCTCTCTCTCTCTCTCTCTCTCTTTCTCTCTCTCTCTCTCTCTATTTCTTTCTCTCTCTCTCTCCCCCTCTCCACCCCCCCTTCTCTCTCTCTCTTTCTCTCTCGAAATCCAATCATCATCAAAATTCTGGCTTCCGAGTCTGCAGGGACCTTGCAGACAGATACCCTTCCGGTGGCCGGACCCCAGTCCACCCCCCCCCCTCCCCTCCGTCCACCCACCAGCGAGTCAAACCTGACCCCATAATTAAATCCGTGCAGCCGACGCCAACAGCACGCATGGAAGCTCGCCCCCTCACGTCGGTCGAACTTTAAACCACGCCGGATGCACACTGCAAAACGATCACTACAGTGCTCCTTGTGATCTCATTTACCACTTAATAATCTACCGTACTGCCAATTTCAGTCAGTCAAGGCTTAAATTTATGTGCATTCTTTCCTTTCCGTCGTAATTTTAGCTAAATTTCAAGAATTTCAAGGATTATTAAAAACATTGATTGCATCTTAAGATTTTTTGAATATTTGGTAAAGTAAATTATTTCAAAATTCTCAGTAAATTTCATTCCAAATCCCAAGTTATTTGTGTACAAATTTCCAAAAGCTTTCTCTTCCTGGGCTTGAAATAAAGTAGTGTGCCATTCCCCCCCACAAGCAGAGCACATACAATAATGCGGTTCAGAGCAGACAGACGCCCCGGAGCCCCCGGCGGCGGAGCTCGTCTCCCCTCTGCCCTTCCACGGTATAAAAACAGTCGCATTTGGGCTATTGGCTTTGCGCACGCTCTCGCCCTGCTCGTCAATATTTGACTGTCGGCACGTTTGGCAGCCCTCAGGCGAGATAAAGATAGAGAGAGAGAGAGAGAGAGAGATGGTGAGAGCCTCACAGAAGGCCAAAGATAAATGAGGGAGGGAGGGGGGTGGGGAGGGTGCGGAAGTGTGGCCATCGATGGCAGCACAGTAAGCAATCGGGTCGTTAGTTTCCCTCAGCCACTATCCGCCCTTTACGGCGGCTGATGAGTCATTTCTGCTGGAGACACTCCTAGCCGCCTCAGCCGACCCGAAGAGTTTCATTTCCTTTGTGTCTCTGAAGGTGGCGGCGCGGTGGCGCGGTGGCGCGGTGGCACGCGGGGGCTTCCAAGGACTTCTCCCTCCCCTCCCCCTCCCTTTCTTTATCCCAGAAGCAGTGCAGCCAAGGTAAACGCTTCCCCCCGCCGGCTGGTGGCGCGGGGCCGGGGGCCAGCGCGGGGCGGGGAGCGCCCGCGGCGCCTCCGGGCGACACAGGTCGG